CTGAATCATCCACCACTACTGCAGGAGTTACCACAACAGCATCACAAACTAGTGTTACAACAGCTACAACAACAGCAGCAACATCTGAACCATCTGCAATTTCAACACCAACAGGTTCTTCCTCTGTCACAGCAACTCTTACTGGGTCATCCACCACTACTGCAGGAATAACCAGAACAGCACCACAAACTACTGTTACAACAGCTGAATCTACCACAACAGCAGTTCCCTCAACAACCACTACAACTCTTGCTGAATCATCCACTACTACTGCAAGAGTTACCACAACAGCACCACAAACTAGGGTTACAACAGCTGAATCCTCCACAACAGCAGTGCCCTCAACAACCACTACAACTCTTGCTGAATCATCCACTACTACTGCAAGAGTTACCACAACAGCACCACAAACTAGTGTTACAACAATTGAATCCTCCACAACAGCTACAACAGCAGTGCCCTCATCAACCACTACAACTCTTGCTGAATCATCCACTACTACTGCAAGAGTTACCACAACAGCACCACAAACTAGTGTTACAACAGCTGAATCCTCCACAACAGCTACAACAGCAGTGCCTTCATCAACCACTACAACTCTTGCTGAATCATCCACTACTACTGCAAGAGTTACCACAACAGCACCACAAACTACTGTTGCAACAACTGAATCCTCCACAACGGCTACAACAGCAGTGCCCTCATCAACCACTACAACTCTTGCTGAATCATCCACTACTACTGCAAGAGTTACCACAACAGCACCACAAACTACTGTTGCAACAACTGAATCCTCCACAACAGCTACAACAACAGCAGTTCCCTCAACAACCACTACAACTCTTGCTGAATCATCCACCACTACTGCAGAAGTTAGCACAACAGCACCACAAACTACTGTTGCAACAACTGAATCCTCCACAACAGCTACAACAACAGCAGCAACATCTGAACCATCTGCAATTTCAACACCAACAGGTTCTTCCTCTGTCACAGCAACTCTTACTGGGTCATCCACCACTAGTGCACCAGTCACTGCAACAGCATCTCAAACCACACCGTCCTCTTCGACTACTCCCTCTTCAACTGCTTTTCATACCACAACTGTTAGCACAGCTGAAACATCCACAACATCAGCAACTTCAACGCCAACCGGTTCATCCACAGTCCCAAAATCTATTACTGGTATATCCACCAGTAGTGCAGCAATAACCACAACAGTGGCACAATCTACAGTTTCTAAAGAGTCTACAGCTTCTACAGCATCTAATGCTTCTACAGAACCTACAGTGTCTACAGCTGCTATAGCTTCTACTGTATCCACAGCTTTTACAGCATCTACAGCCTCTACAGCATCTACAGCGTCTACAGCATCTTCAGTCTCTACAGAGTCTGCAGTGTCTAACGCTTCTACAGCCTCTACAACATCTACAACTTCCACAGCAACTACTGCAAAAATAGTACCTGAAGTGCTAACAGAACTGGAGTTTCGCTCTTTTGAGACATTTACAGATGCACTCAGCGATATCAAGAGTGAGGAGTTTAAGAATAGGTCTAAACTTGTCAGGGATGAGGTGAGTTAAAATCCATTTATTGTATTTAGTAGAACACACTCTTGATAATTTTCTTGACTTTTAAGTATTTAATTAACAGTAGAGACAACATAAATGTGACAAACAATTAAACTAGATTCCAATGATGTGTCTGATGTCTGAAAGTATTTGTTATTTATTCCAGCTTGAGCCTGTCTACAAAATCGAGTATACTAACTTCCTCAGAGTGATTGTCCTAGGGTTCAGGTAAATACAACATATTGCAATATTGAATATTTTATGAATGCTGTCTTTCTCTATATCTCTCTCTCTCTGTGTGTGTGTGTGTGTGTACTGGTATATATGGTTTATGAGGACACAAATACATACAAAACATACAAAATGGTGTTTTATGAAATTCAAAAATTGCCAGTAGTTTTCGGTAAGGGGTAGGTTTAGGGCGATAGAAAATACAGTTTGTACAGTATAAAAACCATTACGCCTATGGAATATCCCCAAAACATGGAAACATGTTTGTGTGTGTGTGTGTGTGTGTGTGTGTGTGTGTGTGTGTGTGTATGTGTGTGTGTGTGTGTGTGTCTGTGTGTGAAAGAGAAAAAAGAAACTTGTAATAAACTGAATTTTTAAAGGTAACATTTATTAATTTCAACATTTATATATTTTAGACCAGGGTCAATCATCACATCAACACAACTAGCTTTCAGCTTCAACCAAACTCTACCATCCGTTCAAGAGATTTCAAAAACCCTCTTGACAGCAGTGGGAACAGGAGATGTCAATTTATTGAAGATAATCCCTGAATCAATTTCAGTCAATGGTTCAGGTAAGCTGTACTACACACACTAGATTTATAGTCTTCTATACCTGTAACTTGTCTATGGGTCTATAGGGATGTCCAGCTAATTTGCTTATGTTTTTTTTTACTGCTTCAGCTGCAACAGTCGATCCCACAGCAACTACAGCAACCACAGCAACTACAGCTTCAGGTGGATTAAAGATTGAATCCAGTCTGTTCCAAGCAACATGTCTCATTATTATGTCTAAAATATTAAACTTTTTCCTATAGATCCCTTAAACATATATCAACCAAACATGAGAGTTCAACAAGACACACTGTAACAAATGAATTAAACACAAAATGTATTTATTACTATAATTAAATGGTATATAGTATTTCCCATTGTAGCACACTGTCACATACTAGTATAGAGCAATATAAAGATAAGTTTGATAATGCATTGTTCCTGAAAAACTTAACAGTAGATATCTGTTTAACAGCAGTCTGTTTTCTGGGAGGGAGAAGTAGATATATTTCCGCATGCATTTCCTTTAATTGTAAACATTGTAAATGTTGTTTAACTGTTTTGAGGTTAAATACTGGTTATATTACTTCTTTTGTTTGTCTAATAAGTTCTAACATTGTAATATGTCATATTTATTAAGTTATGTAGTCCAAAATATTTTGCTTTCATGAAAAGACACTACAATAAATACTATATATGCTAAACCTGGCTTTTTATGGTACAGTGTTCACTGCTCAAATGCAACTAGACTCAGTCAACTCAACCTTTGGTCAACGTTTCTTTACTAAAAGTAGGCTTGCATTACCATGTCTGGGATGACACAAGTCACTATCATGGTCACCTTTGATGATTTTTGGCAGCTAATCAAGTAACAGAAGGAACTGCCTAACAAGTTGTATGGGTGTAAGAGTGGGACATAGACAAACAGATACTACTAGAGACCTGCTCAGGATGGATTTTTCAGTCCCGCTCCAGCAGGATTCTGTCCCGACCCCGGCCCGCAAAACCACTGTTATTTTTAATAGAAAAGCAAGCATAAGCTGCTGTGTGCATGGCTTGGCATGGCAGAATGCGAGCAAAGAGCGCTCCCTTTATAATCACTAAAAAGCTGAAAGTGTCCCAACTTTTTTGGAATCGGGTTTGTACTTCATTTACAGAATAATGGACTGTATCATATCTTGACATTGTTTATTTAAGATCTGCACAGTATCTTACTACAGCTTGTGAGTTGTTAGATGTTAAGTGTTATTTGAGTGTTTACTGTAATGTTAATTAATTGATGTGAGCTTTATACTCCAACTGAAAAAATGCAATGTTTTATATGGTTAAATTTTATTTTGATGGTCCCCTTAATCAATCAACTATAAGCAACTTTGCAACTACATGCCAATTAACTCTCATTAGAGTATTAGTATGCTCAAGAATGGTAGAATCTAGTATGGTAGAATAAGTTGACGTACTTGCAAAGACACTTATAGTCAGTTTATCTGTTGGTTGACCATCAAAATAAAGTGTTAGCAAATATTTACAGTAGCAGATATACTAATCCTCTAATGACTTATCAACAGCTGTTTAAAGGGTACCATCAACATAATCAAACTGATATTACAATAAAAATAGTTCAAAGCAAATGTGTCATATTACACATTCATCTGATCTGATATCTGATCTTATGGCTGTTTGAGAAATATTTTTTATTTTTTATTTTATTATTATTATTATTACTACTTATAAGTGGTCTTTGACCGCTTTAAGTAAAGTAGCATAAGAAAAATGGCAAGATATGAGACTTATAATACATTATAACTATGAGAAATATAATCCATTGTAAAAGTGGATGCAACGTGTTCATTGTGTTATAAATCATCATACTCTTAAAAGCTATAACCACAAATAAGTAAATATTATAATATATTAAAACTGTTCTTATGAACGTCTACCTAAAACGCCCCCACATGTCTACGTCATGATGTGGGAAGGTTTGCATAACGCCGCCCAAATGTTCACGCAAAGAAAGAAGGCTTAACTTTTATTCTCGCTGTAGTATTGTTGTTGCCGTGTGTTTCATTGTGAAAGCGAAACTACTTTGTTTTGCCTTCCAAAAGAGGACGATATCTGCTTCGTCATGCCTAGAGCTGATTAGCTGATAGTGCTGATTAATGAATAAGAACATTATTTTGTGTATTTGGTGTAATGAAATGTGTTTATGCGGTTTAAGGTTAAAAAAACACATTATTTCCTGCTATGTTGGTGTTGCTAATAAATGTCACAGCAATGTGTCTTGAATATTTTTTCTTTTTCTTTTTTTTGCATCAAGTCCAATGTTTCTTTTTCTTTTCGGAATTATTGTATTATTGAATTAAGGATAAAAATGGTAGGCTAATTTTTTCATTACAGTTTCCGGTTAGAACAAAACAAAACATTACTGCTCCATTTATTCAGAAACAAAATCATTTAAAAATGGCATTTGTGCGTTTACATTTTTTATTAGCTATATTAGTCTACAGCAGACCTTAATGCTCTTAATGCAATTTAATGGCACTGTCAACACTGCACTCCGATAGCAGACAGAAGAGCTGCAGAGAAATTCAAGGCACTGTAATTTCCTCGTCCATTTGACACAAAACTGTTATATATAATCAAACTGTATATATAAAATAATTTTATTTGTGTTAAATATTTGTGGGGTTTTTTATGAAAAATGTGTTTTGAAGAATATCTATTCATTATGTTCATATATTCCTTATGAAGGAAATTTGTTATGAAGAATAGTCTATTTGTTATGAAGTTGATTTAAATATTCTTCATAACAAATTTGAAGAATAAGTTAAAAGTTAAGAAAAAATAGAATTAGCCTGTAATCTATAGATAGGCCTACAGGCTAATTCTTTTTTATTATTATTATTCTTTTTTTACTTTTATTAAACTGCAAGATGACAATAAAATAATTATTGATAATATCTTTAAAATGAGAGAAATCACTGATAAAATGTAGGCTTTTTTTACATTCTTCGACAGCAGAAAAAAAGGAATAGTCTAAAACCATTTAACTTGCAATGTTAACTTAAATAAAAGAAATACAAGAAATAAATCACAACAAGATGCGTAATCAAGAAAACAAAAAGACAAAATTCCAAAATGAATGCTCAATGATGTTTGACTGAGGTCATCTCCACTGCATAGCTGGCGTCACTCACAAATATTTAACATGTTTAAGAAAATCTTTGTGAAAATGACTGGCAACAGTTGTTTCTTGAATAAGATTATAATTATAATTATAGGATTTTAATATAAAGACACCACGCACACACTATGCGACTTTTTCTGCCGACTGCAAACAGTGAGTCCAACTGTAACAAACCCCATCCGACAAGGCACGATCCGTCGTCAAGACCAAATTACATTCATAATCGGCCTGACAGTTGTGTAGTCTGTTCTCGACTGTGTATACCTAGCCCTCACTTTGTACTTTAGTTTGTCCATTATTGTTATTACTATGTTGGTTGCTCTGTTTGTGCTTGTAATAATTAACGTTGAGAGTGTTTTGTTTTCATTTGAGTTCATTTAATAAAGACTGCTCCGCCTAAATCCAGCTTTTACTTCACCCTCCTGCAACCTACATGTGACACGTTTACTCACCCTCATGTCATTCCAAATACGATAATTAAACCAATTAAAGTCAACTGACTCTAAAAATATCATGCTTTGTGTTCCACAGAAAAAAAGAAGTTGGAAATGACATGAGGGCGAGTAAATGATTTTTCATTTTTGGGTGAACTATTTTGCTGCTCCCTGAACTGTTACAAGAATTTTGTGTTTTCAAATTCTGAATTTTTCTCCTTGTTCATCATAATAGTGTCCCAGATAACCAGTGTTGCATAAAGTAAGTTAAACTAAAGGCACTTTTTATGAAAGGTGTATATATAAAAAACTGATATGAAAGCAAACCATAACATCAAAGAGACTTGGAGGGTGGGCTGTTCTGACTTGGACCCAATATGCAAGTCTAATCTAAAAATATTGGTTTGAAATCTGTTGACTGTGGAGGCCATTTAAGTAAAGTGAACTTACCTAAAGCTAACAGAAGTTTCGTGCCTTCAACCTTCTTTTTGATCTGAATGTTATGCTTCGTTGTCTGCTGAATACATTTCAGGTTTGAAAAACCATTGAAAACTACTTTTAAACAGGAAATGATGGAATATTTACGTACATATTTACAGCTAGTCTATTCACATGGTATTATCTTTACCTGAAGTAATTTTTCCAGACCTATTTCCAGAAGGTAAAATTCCCCGTAATCATTGTTTTCTAATATCCATAAAATAATATCAAGAAAATATAGATTTTTTCATAAACCAAACGGTGTACGCAAGAATTACAAGAACTTGCCCTATCCCTCAAAACGTGGCCAGATTTTAAATAACGTCAATAATGTTTTAATGAAATTATGAAATGAATGAAAACGATGAATGACTAAGTCAAGTATAAATTAAAAAGTTTAAAATTATATTTAGATTAGACACTTTAGGCAGCTCTAATACAAAAAAAATGTGAGAAACAAATCTTCACAGTATCTCCCATAGGACATTCCATTTAGCTTCTCCGATTTCATAGAAGGAAAGAAAAAAAAACCAGGACGTTACTGCATGCTATTTAAGAGGTAGAAATGCCACAGGGGACTGAGAAGAAGTGAGAAATGGGAAACACTTCAGCAACAGCAGATTACTAAGCAGTGTGTTCAGTATAAAATACCTGCTCAAGGATTGGTAATGAGAAACCATTAATGCTAGTGTGATAAATATAGTCACATGGGCTCAGGAGTACTTTGGAAATCCATTGTCACTTAACACAGTCATTGCGTCACTGCAATCTCTGTTACGCAAAGAGAAAGCCATACATCAATCCTACGCAGAAAGGCTGTCGAGTTCTCTGGGAGTTCTCTGAGAATTCTCAAATCAGAGATTCTTTTATTGCGTTTCACAAAATGCCCCAACTTTTCTAGAAGTGGAAAAAAGTTAGAAAAAGTTAACGGATTAACGGTGTTAACAGATTACTTATAATAAAGTTTACATAAATATTATTTATAATATATACAAACACACATTAACTCTTCAATAATATATTGCTTTGCAGACTCTTATCATCACTGGATTCTTTCCAAGATGAACACAAATTTT